CACAAACGACAGAAATGGGGCAAACTTCCCACACAGAACCCCCATGACCAACAGAAAATACTTAAGGCCATCCAGTCCAACTCTATTCACCAGGGCAAGAAAATGTAATCAGAGCCCTCCTGACAAAGAGCCATCCAGCCATAAATATAGATAGATAGTAGGGCTGGGCGGTTTCGTTTCGTTAATTCGTAATTCGTTAATAATTCGTTTTTTTTAATTACAAAACGATAACGAACCATTCTGGAGCAATTTAAAAAAAAACGAATTTTTAAACACGTTTTGTAAATGCTTCGTATTTCGTTATTGTATTCGTTTCGTTATTGTTCTGAGGTCGTTTCGTTATTATTTCCGCATGTCTGGGGCAAGTTTTTTGTTTAATTAGTGAAAAAAAATTATAATATCACACCAACAGTCAACAACAGAGGGAGAGGGAAGCTTCAGAAGTTTTTGGAGGTTTTTAGCGTATTTCGCGGTCGCGTCCGCCATTAACGAATCGATTCGTTATTGTTTCGGAAATCGATTCGTTAATGTTTTGTAATTTTTTCACATTTACGAAATTTCGTAAATATCGAACTTTTTAAAAGGAAAATTTTGTAATTATTTTAAATAACGAAACGCAAAAACCCCCAAAAAACGAATCGATTTTAGAAACAAATTTTTCCGTTGTTACCCAGGCCTAATAGATAGATATGATTCTCACACTCACACACACAGATATAGTATCATAGATTTGAAAAGGACCCCTAAAGAAGGACAATAATATGTTGCATGTTCCAGGGTAGGCAAACCAGACACTCTCCACATCAACACTGACAAAGAAACAACAAGAAATACTGTTTACCCACAAACATAAAGGAATTACATATATTAGAAGCCAACACTTTCCCATTACTTTATTTTTCAGATCACCAGACTGGGCCACAGCAGCACGTGGCAAGGGACGGCTAGTCTGTAATATATGCTCAATTCCTAAATATTGCCCTGTTTGTTCTAATTGCATTGTTAGGCTTTCATTCTTTAAATCAGGCATGGGCAAACTTTGGCCCTCCAGGTGTTTTGGATTTCAACTCCAACAATTCCTAACAGCCTACCGGCTATTAGGAATTGTGAGAGTTGAAATCCAAAACACCTGGAGGGCCAATGTTTGCCCATGCTTGTTTAAATGGTTGGTATCTGGCCCCGTAATCAGATTTCGGTCTGGTTGGGAGATTTCAAAACATTATGTGTGGTTTTCAGAAAACGGCTCCCCATCCCACTACCCAGACAATGCATTTGTAGTAGTTCATTTTATTAGGAAAGATTAAGTTACTAAGTCCAATGACGCCATTGCTTGTCTCTTCCTCTCCGATGTCAGTTTTTCCCCAAGAGACAGAAAGGCTCACCAGTGCATTCTCTCTAGATTGGACCTTGGAAATGTTAGTTTAAGATTGCAGTTTCCAGAAACTTTCAAACCAACGTGATTATCAGTCAAATTGAACAGTTCTGGAAAATATAGTTCCAAACCCACTCAAATAAACAGATTCTGCTCCAGGCAAAACTCTTCTAGAACGTTGCCCAAACTTTTAGTCTTTCAGTTGTTTTGGACTTCAGTTTCGAGAAGCCCCAATCATCTTGGCCAATAATTAGGAATTCTGCAAGCTGAAAGATCAAAGTTTGGGAGACACAGCCATTGTTGTTGTTCATTCGTTCAGTCGTTTCCGAATCTTCGTGACCTCATGGACCAGCCCACGCCAGAGCTCCCTGTCAGCCGTCACCACCCCCAGCTCCTTCAAGGTCAGTCCAGTCACTTCAAGGATGCCATCCATCCATCTTGCCCTTGGTCGGCCCCTCTTCCTTTTGCCTTCCACTTTCCCCAGCACTGCCATAATAATAATCATCATCATCATCATCATCATCATCATCATCTTTATTTATAACCCGCCACCATCTCACCAATGGGGACTAGGGGTGGCTAACATGAGGCCAAGCCCAAAAGTACAATACAATACAATACAATACAATACAATACAGAATGCAAAGAACAAGAATTACATCAGAAAATAAATACAGTAGCAAAATAAAATAATAAAGCAAATTAACACAATATAAAATCGAACAGGATGGGCAGGCCAAAACCCTGGGTGAGGTAGGAATAGAAAATGTGTCAGTGAGGGGAGCCCATGAAGGATAAAACAATGGGGTAAGGCTTTCAGTTTAGGACGGGAGAAAGTGCATCATAGGGGCAACACTATAGATGGGGCAAACAGACGTGGGAGAGATGGTCACTCTCCAAAGGCACAACGGAAAAGCCAGGTTTTCAAGTTTAGAGGAAGGATTACAGCTAGATTCTCACACGAGGTTCCCCTTTGCCCATTTTAATGCCTCCAAGTATACACGCAAAAATTACATTATTAAATGGTAGAAATCTTTGCCCTGGGAGTCTACTTTTTGAGCCAATTTCCCACTTCCCATGTTAAACAAGAACTGTTGACTTAAAAGGTAAAGGTTTCCCCTGACACTAAGTCTAGTTGTGTCCAACTCTGGGGGTTGGTGCTCATCTCCATTTTTAAGCTGAAGAGCCAGCGTTATCCATAGACACCTCCAAGGTCATGTAGCCAGCATGACTGCATGGAGTGCTGTTACCTTCCTGCTAAAGCGGTACCTATTGATCTACTCACATTTGCATATTTTTGAACTGCAAGGTTGGCAGAAGCTGGGGCTAAGAGCAGGAGCTCATCCTGCTCCCCGGATTTGAACCACTGACCTTTTGGTCAGCAAGTTCAGCAGCTCAGTGGTTTAACCTAATACGCCACCAGGGGCCCTATACTAATATTGTGCTATGCTAATAATGTAATATAATAATAGTATCATGTAATACAATTTAATATACAATATAATAATAGGAGCCCCCGGTGGCGCAGTGGGTTAAAGCACTGAGCTGCTGAGCTTGTTGATCAAAAGGTCGCAGGTTCGATTCCGGGGAGCGGTGTGAGCTTCCGCTGTCAGCCCTAGCTTCTGCCAACCTAGCAGTTCGAAAACATGCAAATGTGAGTAGATCAATAGGTACCGCTCCGGCGGGAAGCAGTCCTGCCGGCCACATGCAGTCATGCCGGCCACATGACCTTGGAGGTGTCTACGGACAACGCTGGCTCTTCAGCTTAGAAATGGAGATGAGGACCTCACCCCAGAGTCAGACATGACTGGACTTAATGTCAGGGGACTACCTTTACCTTTACCTTAATACAATAGTAATAATAATACAATATAGTAATATATAGTAATCATACATTATTGTTACTTGTTAGGCATTGAATGTTTGCCATTCTTGTTATTTTTGTAATCCATCCTGAGTCCCTTCGGGGAGAGAGGGCATGTTATAAATAAAGTTGTTGTAATATAATAATACTAATATATTAAATATGGTACTTCCAATATATTAATTATGGTTTAACCCACTGCATCACTGGGGGTTCCACTGTTGACCTAGGAACTTCTAAAATCCAAAACTTTAACTTCAAAAAGTTTTCAAAGCTTCTGAAAATGTAGGCACGCCAAAGCATAAAAGTCTAGTCCCCAAATCTTAATCCTTGGCCTAAATCAAGTTGCTAGTTGCAAATAGAGTAGATTCCTTGAACCACTTATCAAATAGGAAGCAAATGCTGAGGTAAATCCATCGAACCAAAGGGTTGAGACTGGCGGATAGATGTAGGCCATTCTGCTTAATGCTAGAGCTTAACTTAAGAGTTGATTCCACCTCGTTGAGTTTCACTATGCAGTTTAACCATTTTTCATGCATCATTTCTTCCCTTGAAATCTCTAAATCAATCTGCATGCGTGATTAAAAATGCTGAGTAAAATAGCAAATGTAAATAGTGGAAAAATTCAAGCTTGAAGAATTTGCATAAAGCTCTCTTCCCCCTCATTGACTTTCAGCTTCATCACAAAAGCTACAAGACTTATATGTGAAACTTTCTAGTTCTCTCCCTTTCCCTCACCCCTCGAATAATCTATAACATTCAGAGACAGTGTGCTTAGCTATTGATAATGATCTGTGGGTTAGGAGAATATCTCTTGTTTCACATGTTCCCAAGATTGACCAACTGAATTAAAAGCAGGGTTTGAAGTCATATGTAGTCATGATGGCATAGCCCATTATCTAGGATAGGGATAGATATGTTTTGGGGGATGTGTCATGAATGACACATCTACATAAGTGCTCAAATTGTGTTCAAATGATCCTTGAAGGCATCTTCCTTGATGAGAAGATCTGCAATAGTGAAGGAATGATCATCGCCACTGCCAATCTTTCAGAGCAAAGCATATCTGGAGCAGAATATTGGGAGTATTTCATGGTGTCCTCTGAATTCAACAGCAAACATGATTATAAATGGTATCTTGAACTAAATAGGTCTATTGCCAATTAATATCTGGATAAGAGGCCACCTCAGAACCCTGATCTTTCCTGCTTTCTGTTCCTTCTTGGAAGAAAAGTAGGCTATAAATGGAAAAAAGAAATGAACAAATGGTACATGATGGCACCCAGTAGAGTGGTGTCCAAGAAAGTTGGCCATGAACACAACTTTGGGTCATGGACATGATGGAGAACCTATTTGGAAGGCATTTCATGAAGCCAGGAGCTACTGAGTTAACAAAACACTCATGCAATCTCCAGTGGTGTTTGTGTGTATGTTCCATGAATTGTATTTCCAAATAACTGTGATTTAATTCAACAGGTTTTTAGGAGGATTTACAAAACTAGGTAAAATTTCCATACTTTGGAATTTCAGGGTATGGAGAGATTTAAAAACAATTCTGCACATTCCAGGTAAGAGAAATCCCTGACTCTTGCATCTCTGCTCTCAGCTACAAGTGACTATATATATATTTATATATTTTCCTGTGCTCTGCCTTCCTCCCTACCCGAACCCTTCTCTCTCTTGTTTTTTTCTCTCTTCTGCTGTCATTACTTTGCTGACGTTCTTGTCACGGTCTTCTTGTCTGTGACTTTCCCTTGTTTGCAGATACATAACTGAATTTGTGGACCTGGGCAATGTATCAGCCTTACGAACGTTCAGAGTTCTCCGGGCGCTGAAAACAATCTCAGTCGTTTCAGGTGAAAAGAACAATACCAGGTTAAACACTTGGGCCACTGCACTCAACATGGCTTCCACACCATTCCCCCTAGCAAAACGGCTGTCAGTAAGACGTGGCTTTAACTATGATCGGCACATAACGTGGGAATGGATGAGTGTAAGGAATGGAGACCTGTCAATAGAATACTTCTTTGTGTGTTTCCCCCAAACCCTCCCAGCATCCATTTTTGGGTGGATCTCCAAGGTGCCAACATTTCCCCTGATTCCCTTTGCCAAGATCTCTCATCCCCATTTGCATACATTCTGGGAATTAAGCAAACACATTAAGGCTGACTTGAGATCTTTTTAATTTTAGTATGACCAAATTGAGATGTTTTTGAAAGCATTTTGCAGTATGAGAACTGCTTGGGATAAAGTGTACCATCTAAAAAACAAAGCAAAAGAAGATAGTATACACAAATAAGTGTTTTTAATTCAGACAATAATAATAAACCCACTCAAGCAAATTTGTTTGAGCTAATCTGGCCAATCTGCAGGCTAAACTAAAACTAAGCACCATTTATGGATGGAATGAGAAGTAAAGCATGGGAAGGACTTAATGTTGTCCTTCTTCATCATTATCATTTGACCTCAATTAATTTTGGTCCCAACTGACAAATGTGGGTTTCTGTTAAAGTATGTGTTCAATCTGCTTGGAAGATATTCACCACAAACTCCATCAGGACAAGTTTTCAACTTTCTAATGCAACTCCTTGAATTGTCAAAGGCTTTCATGGCTGGAATCACTGGGTTGCTGTAAGTTTTTCAGGCTGTATGGCCATGTTCCAGAAGCATTCTGTCCTGAAGTTTCACCTACATCTATGGCAGGCATCCTCAGAGGTTGTGAGGACCTCACAACCTCTGAGGATGCCTGCCATAGATGCAGGTAAAACGTCAGGAGAGAATGCTTCTGGAACATGGCCATACAGCCTGAAAAACTTACAGCAACCCAACTCCTTGGAGTTTGCAAAGGAGAATATCCCAGTTGATCGTGTCCTTTCCCCACCTTCTCTCATTAACTCATGTTGGTCAAAATCGGATGCATCTCCTGTTGTCTTTCTCAAGGCTCAAGATATTTACTTAATATGGATGCTATTCTTTCTCTCTCTCTCTCTCTTTTGTTTTACTCAAATTGACAAGGGAGCTTTCTCTGAAGGCAAATTGATGGGGAAAAATAAACATGCCCTTGGCGTATCTATGGACAGGTCCCATTCTGCCTTCGTGTTTAACATATTCGACCTGCATGGCAAGGTAGAGGAGATGGCAAAACAACCCCGTGCATGGTAGTTCCTGTAGATGATTATCCTGAACAGATGTTGGCAATTACAGGTCAAAAAATAGTCTAAAGAGACCGCTTTAAAAATAAATAAAACAGGAGGGAAGGAGGGAGGGGGAAGAAAATCAACATCCATTTAGGAGCTGGGAAGAACTTTTCAGTCCATTAGACGGCAAATGTTAACACCATGAAGCTCACCATTGAAACAAAACACCCCAGCGACAGCGCACATTATTTCTCCAGTGAGGTTGCATTTAAGGGACAAATGCTGTAGTTGCTGCAGTGGTAATTTTCAGAGAGTAATTGGTACATTGCACTATGGCCATTGAAGTCATTGGCAAAATGTAATCATCTTTAATGGATGTGGATTTCCTCCTACAGTATCCCCCCTCCCTATGAATCCTGGGCACACACAGGAAGGAGGAAAGGTGTAGATTCAAAAGAAACCTGTATTTTAAATGCAATAAGTGCTTGGGAGGGTTATCTTCACTTTGATGTAGTTGTCATCAAGCTATGACAGTTAAAGTGGTGTCAAACTGCATTCATCCTACAGTAGAGATCAGGCATGGGCAAACTTCGACCCTACAGGTGTTTTGGACTTCAACTCACAATTCCTAACAGTTGATAGGAATTGTGGGGGTTTGAAGTCCAAAACACCTGGAAAGCCGAAGTTTGCCCATGCCAGGTATAGATGCGCACTTACACTGCTTTCCCCATATCTCCACTTGCATGGCCTATGCAACACTGTCTTTTAGATTTGGGTTACTACAATCCGAAATAGAAATTTTCCAAATCTCTAGCATCAGAACAGCTCATTTGGCTTCCCTCAGTTCTCAATATACTTCCCCTGGGAGAACGGGAATCCCATATCCACTCCGTATTTTGCTTGAGGTGAAATTTCAAGGCATCCTCCAGTTCACTGTTGCCCTGATAATTACTTATTTTGGATTGACATGATTGTAAGTCCTGTTTTTCTTTTATTTACTTCTTACTCTCAGAGTTGTGATTCTCAAACAACTTCACCCAACCAAAATTCCCCCAGGACTCACTTTTTAGCTGCTGGAGTATTCACTCCTCAGTCATTTGGAGGCCAGGGATAATAGTGAAAACAGCAGAAAGTTCTGTCTCTGTAGCCAGGCACAGAACGAAGTCAACATCCTCCAGGACTTCTGGAGCACTCTTGTTGCTCCTGGTAGATGATGTCCACATTTGGCTCTAAATGGATATGAAATAGAACTTAACAACCAGTGAGTCCTGGGGTGGTTCTATGCCAGGCATGGGCAAACTTTGGCCCTCCAGATGTTTTGGACATCAATTCTCACACTTCCTAATAGCCTACCGGCTGCCTAAACACTCAGAAGGCCAAAGTTTGCCCATGTCAGATCTAGCCAGCATAGAATCAGAGAATCATTGAGTTGGAAGAAACCTCATGGGCCATCCAGTCCAACCCCCTGCCAAGAAGCAGGAAAATTGCATTAAAAGCACCCCTGACAGATGGCCATCCCGCCTCTGAAAAGTTTCCGAAGAAGGAGCGTCCACCACAGTCCAGGGCAGAGAGTTCCACTGCTGAACTGCTCTCATAGTTAGGAATTTCTTCCTAATGTTCAGGTGGAATCTCCTTTCCTGTAGTTTAAAGTCATTGTTCCTCATCCTAGGCTCCAGGACAGCAGAAAACAAGCTTTCAAATGCTTGGTCCCATAACCAGGTTTTGAGTTTCATTCTATTTATTTATTTATTTATTTATTTATTTTGAGCATTTCTACCCTGCCCTATTCAACCCCCGAAGGGGGACTCAGGGTGGCTTACAAAAGGCACAATTCGATGCCAGCAATACACATAGTAAGATAAAATACATAGCAGCAACAATTATAAAATAATTAAAACAATCCAGTTATACAATACAACTAATAAAAACCAATCTAGTGATCAACGTTCGCCAAGCTCAAAATCCGTCAGTTCCTTCAGCATTGTCATAATCCTATCCAGTTCTAGTCGTCACTGTCCTTTGTCTGTCTGCCAGATTACCCAAAAGGCCTGGTCCCATATCCATGTTTTTAATTTCCTTCTAAAAGAGAGGAGGGATGTTGATGACCTAATTTCCCCGGGGAGTGAATTCCACAGGTGAGGGGCCACCACTGAGAAGGCCCTGCTTCTCGTCCCCACCAACCTCACTTGTGATAGAGGTGGAGCCGAGAGCAGGGCCTCCCCAGAAGATCTTAAACTCCAAGGTGGGACTTAGAAGGAGATGCATTCGGACAGGTACGCTGGGCCGGAGCCGTATAGGGTTTTGTAGGTCAAAACCAGCACTTTGAATTGTGCTCGGAACTGGATCGGCAGTTCTAAAGGAAAGGAGGAAAGTAGCCAATTTGATGTCACTGGGGAGAGAGTTCCACAGGCTTGCTCCCTCCTCCCTATGACTTCTCCTCACATATTTGCATCACTTCAAGCATTGAGCAATTGGCTTGACCCATGTTGTGCCTACTGGTTGCTGTGACAAAAACAGCAGTGAGTGCCATCTCGGGTTCTTCGGCCACTGGAGCCTAAGGAAAACATAATGATCGTGTAAACATTTGTGACCGGTTTCATCTTTGAACCAGTCCAACTGTTTACATGTTTGAAAGTTGCAGTTTACATCAGATTCTGGGAAAGAATTTGGAGCAGCCTAGATTAGAGAGATGGGCCAAAACGAACAAAATGAAGTTCAACAGTGATAAATGCAAGATACTCCACTTTGGCAGGAAAAACGAAATGCAAAGATACAGAATGGGGGACAATGCCTGGCTTGAGAGCAGTACGTGTGAAAAAGATCTTGGAGTCCTCGTGGACAACAAGTTAAACATGAGCCAACAATGTGATGTGGCAGCAAAAAAAGCCAATGGGATTTTGGCCTGCATCAAGGAGCATAGTGTCTATGTCTAGGGAAGGCATTTAATATTAGTTTGGTTAGACCACACCTGGAATATTGTGTCCAATTCTGGGCACCACAATTCAAGAGAGATATTGACAAGCTGGAATGTGTCCAGAGGAGGGCGACTAAAATGATCAAGGGTCTGGAGAACAAGCCCTATGAGGAGCGGCTTAAGGAGCTGGGCATGTTTAGCCTGAAGAAGAGAAGGCTGAGAGGAGACATGATAGCAATGTATAAATATGTGAGAGGAAGTCATAGGGAGGAGGGAGCAAGCTTGTTTTCTGCTTCCCTGGAGACTAGGACACGGAACAATGGCTTCAAACTACAAGAAAGGAGATTCCATCTGAACATGAGGAAGAACTTCCTGACTGTGAGAGCCGTTCAGCAGTGGAACTCTCTGCCCCGGAGTGTGGTGGAGGCTCCTTCTTTGGAAGCTTTTAAACAGAGGCTGGATGGCCATCTGTCAGGGGTGATTTGAATGCAATATTCCTGCTTCTTGGCAGGGGGTTGACTGGATGGCCCATGAGGTCTCTTCCAACTCTTTGATTCTATGATTCTATGATTCTATGACTGGCTAACATAGTTCAGGGCTGTGTTAGCCAGCTTTGACCCAAGTTAACCTATATCTTCTCCGTGCATCATTTAGGTATCATAGAGTTGATTCGCTGGCACTTCATGCTAAGGGCTAAGGAGAAGATGTATTGTAATTACATCTAAAATGTTAGGAAACATTTTCAAATTCAGGCTCTCAGCTGTTCTGTGTGGAATCCATCATGCCAAGTATTCCCTCAACGCTC